AAAAAATTGAATTAGGTAGTATTTACTATAAGTATTTATTAGAAACTTTTTACCTATTTATGACCGGTACAATTAGAATTAGGTAGTTAAAATGGAAAAATATTTTAAAAACTGAACTAGACCGGCTAGGTTTAGTGGTCGGATTGTGAATCAGTTATATTTTAATTTGATTATTATTCAGTTTATCTGCGATTCAGCAACAAATTTAATAGCTAATTGAATTCTAGTTTAATGTTGAAACATTGGCCAAAATGAATTGGAATGTAATTGGTTATTAAATACACGAGTTAATATTATTTTTTTTCGCCCCCCGTCATAATAATTCCTGGTCCGCCTTTATATATATAAAAAGGTTGTATTTACAAACTCTTATAACCAAATTTTAATAGTTGATTTTTGTCAATTTAACGGGAAGGAATCAATTAATGTCTTATGACAAAATAGGGGTGACAATTTGAGTTGACATGTTACATCACAACATGACACAAATTTAACACAAATACAATGCGTATTTGAAAACAAGTCAAAACTTTTCGGCACAAATACAACTCGTTTATTTTGTGGGTTAATATGACACAGATGAATAACTCGCCAATCTCAAAGTGTGTTACTTAATATAGAGGTTACATGACATGACATGACACGAACGAAGAACCTATCAACCACGAAATTATCACTTATTACACGGGTTAACACGATATAAGACAACATGACACGACACAAATAACTTGTAAGAATATGAATGCATATTAATTTCGTGCTTGCGAGTTGACATGCAACATGCCACAAATGTTTTCGTGTTAGATTTTGTTAACAAGGACACAACACAAATTTGAAAACAGATTGATTCAAACATGAATTTCTCATATTGTGTTAACAGATTGTGTTGAACATTATGACTAATTATTTTTTATTTTTATTTTTTTTTGCAATAGAGCATTTCACCTAGCATGCAATTAATAGCTAGCACCTAACTTGACAAAATATGTCTAGCCAAAGATTTCATAAAAAATGTGAGTAATGTGCTTTTTGGCAATAAATTGATAAGTAACTTGATTTTGTTAAGTTTTTGTAATTGTTATACTGATGATACTTCTTATTTATATATCATGTGCGATCTGAATTATATTTTGCCTGTACATAAGGTGTTTATTAATTAGGTTTAGCAATCTCATATTAACTTATAGGTACCAATCATACTTCACCTTGTAGATGGACATGACAGATGTGAGTTCTTGATGAATTTGTCTCGCTTTATCCTGTCTTGCATACCTCATCTAAATAAACATTATGTTTGTATCGTCTATTAATGAAGTCAATTGTATTAACTAGTTTTTGTTAATAAATTTCATTAAATGTTTATTTATATATGATAAAAGACTACTTTTAAGATTATTATTGTCTATTGTAAAAATTTATTTAAAAAATTTATAAGGACGAGATAGGTAGGGTGCTAGTTTTAAGATTTTCCTATTGGATAGGTTGAAGCTATTCATTCAATAAATTAATTGTAGTTTAATTACTATAAAATAAAATTAATTGTACTATTTTTTTTTCACATATTACAAATGTAGTGATTCCACACAAATAATATCATCAAGAGTTTGTCTTTGAGTAAACACATGATATTTTCACTCTGTAGAATGAGTCTAATCTCTTCGTGACTTGGAGCGAGAAAGTTTTGACTGATTCCAAAATACTTCTTGTAGAAATCAAATCCATAAATTCACCAACCACCAAAATCCAACCGGCATTCCGTTTACCAACCTTGGAATTAAGAATTTGTCTTTAAAGTAACAAATAAAGGCATGCTTATTTCCAGCAAAGAAAAAAGAGTATACTCTCATCCAGACGAGTACATTGGCCCAATAATACCCTATTGCCCGCTTTTGTGAAACCCTATATGAATATCACATATTCACATAAAGTTATCCCACTAAATCAACGGAATATCTTTCAAAAGATATCCTAGGATCTCATGATTTTTGTTAACTAATTATTGTCTTCATTTTGCTGTCCTTTTGAGGTCTTCACCTTATTAGCATAATCCACTCTAATCTCATGCTTATTTGACCGTTGAAATATTTACAAGTACACCATTCCCATTGTATAATCGAAAACCCACCATCATCAGTTGTACGAGATCCTGAAAAATCCAAAACGTTCTAGTAACTGAGCAGGTATTCCATGGTTCAGGAACAAGTGATCCTTATGTTATATGGGGGGGGGGGGGAATGGGAATTTTATTAAAAAAGCAAGGATAAAATGAGAATTGTCTATAATAGAGATCATGGCATTTTAATTTGGTCCCGAACTATGTTAGAAAATTTCCAGTAACTATACTTACTCTAAATCGTTTGTGAATCAACATCATAATGTATTTTAAATCAATTTAAAAGTGAACGGGAAAAAAGTGTGTCATTTAAAATGACACATCTTATATCTTTTCACTCTGAGAAAGAGTTGAGACCCACATCTTTAAAAAAATTTCTTTCCACTCTCTCTTTCATGATTTATTTTCTTTTTTTACTTAAAATAACACAACTTTATATTCTTTAGAATGATACACATTTTTTTCAAGGTGAATACGCTGCAACCAGAAGTTCATCTTAAAAAAAATCTTTACAAATCAATATAATTATTAGATGAAATATGCCTGAGAGTCAAGAATAAAGATCTTTATTCAAATGACACAAGGCATGATCATTGACTTTAGGACGTGTGAGTAGTCCTTATTATTTTATTCCATTTATGGCATCCAAATACAATTCTTATGCATGTCCAAAATCGTGAAAAAAAAAATAAGTATATATATATATATATATATATATATATATATATATATATATATATATATATATGGGAATATGTTCGGTTATGTAACAGGAAAATCAACAATTTTCCTACACAAAAAACAATTGGGAGAGAGAAAGAAATATGAGGAGAGAGAAATAAAATTTAATGGGGCCCATGTCAATTGTTGTTTGTGGAGGACACTTTTAGTTTTTTTATGTTACATGACCAACATATTACCCTATATATATATATCAGCCTGAAAGACCCAAGACTCATGCCCGTAATTGTAAAATCCGGCTCGATTCGGTCGGATTAATTCGAAATCCGGTGAACAGGTCATCGAATCGGTTCGGGTCAAGCATTGAATCAGTCATGTATCGACCCGGTCAAATCCGAACAAAATCGGGGACTCGGTAACCAGGTCGAGTTATGCATTAAAAAAAAAACCAAAAAATCCAAAATTTTTCATCTTGTCAAAACAAATGTATTTTAAAAACTTTTTGTAATTTTATTTGCCAGTATACTCTTCTACAATAACCTCAAATTTCAGCTTCTAATACTGAAGCAATTTACGGAATAATAAATTTAGAGAATGTGACATATGTCATTTTTAATGTAATTAAATTTGAAAATTATGATTTTAATGTCATTGAAAGGTATATTTATAAGAATTTTGAGTTGCAATTTAAATTGACATTGTAATGACATGAATTTTTATTTATTTATGCTTCTTGTTTTTTGAGTTTATTTAATGAACCTTGTTTAATTCATTTTAAATATGGAGAATATAATTGAATTTATATGTTTATATTTATATATATTTTTAGGCTAAAATATAAGTTACCCTCTTGAACTTTGACCATGTTTTAAATTACCACATTGTACTTTTAATTGTTTCAATTAACCCCCTGTACTTTATAATTGTTTAAAATCAACAATTCTGTTAAAATTTTTACAAACTCTGTTAAACCTCCTCACATGCCCTAAGCCCCAAATCTCAAAAAATTCTTCTCTCTTTTCTTCTATGTTCTCCCATCTCTTATTACAATTTTCTTTGGATCTTTTCTCAGTAGTTTGGGATGATCATTTCGATTTGGACCAGAGAAGATTAACGTAGAAGAATCTTCACAAAGTTTGGGATGAGATGATCTTGTTATTATTTGTTTACAAAGTTTCCATCGATGATCTTTTTTTCTACGATTTGGGATGATCTCTTCTTCTCTCTTTTCTTTAACTCTTGATTATTTATTCACAAAGTTTTCGGCGATGATTGTTTCCCCGTCGTAGATGATGTTAATATTTTTTAAGAGAGACCTTGGGAGAACATAGAAGAAAAGAGACACATTAATCTTCTCCGATCCAAATCGAAATTATCCCAAACTATTGTAATAAGAGATGAGAAAACGTAGAAGAAAAGAGAGATTTTTTTTTGAGATTTGGGACTTAAGGCATGTAAGGAAGTTTAACATAGTTTGTAAATTTTTTAACAGAATTGTTGATTTGAAACAATGATAAAGTATAGAGGGTTAATTGAAACAATTAAAAGTACAATGGGGTAATTTGAAATATGATCAAAGTTCAAGGGGATAACTTATATTTTAGCCATATTTTTATATATTTATATATATCCGGGTCAACCGATCCGACCGGTCTGACCAATGACCCAGTAATCTAGTATCTCGACCGAGTTCATACTCGGATCGGATTTAATAACACTGCGACCGAGTTCATACCCAGATCGAATTTAATAACACTGCTGGTGCGCGAATATGCGCGGCAAACCAACGAAAACAACTAACGGTAACCAATCCTTAAAACGCATCGTTTAATCGAGAGCCCACGCGTCGTGCCTGATCGTAAATTTGATTTTCTGTTACACTATGCACCACTTATCACCGAGCACCTCACGGATCGGATCTTAATTCTCAAGCATTCACTGTAACGTTCCCTATCACGACGCTTTTAAAGACCGAGTCTGGTTGGGCTCAGCCTCCATTCATATTTTCCAAAATAAATTTTATTTTAGGGTTCTTTTTTCATTCCTCAACACTTCTCTTTTGAAGCATTCCGCCATGGAATTACGTGAGAGAAGCGGCATGTTACTCTTTCGTCTTCTGGCATTCTTTTAGAACGTGATTTAAAAGACTTGTGATTTTCGTGGTCCGATTCCGAAGTGAACAGAGAAGTGATTTTCCCCATCGGAAATGGCAGTTTCTCCCGCCAATTTCGTCTTTGCTTTCTTGCTGTTTTGTGTTACGTTGACGCTCGTTTTCATGTAAGTCTTCAACCCTTATTTATTTGAAAAATGTTTTCTCGTACTGAATTTTGGCATGTTCAGCGATGATTTCCAATTAATATTGTTCTTTATGCACTTGTGTGTTTCAAGGATGTACGGTGCAAATCAAATATTAGTAGATTGAGTAGAATTTCAAATTCTTGGTGCACATTTTTTAGGTTGAAGTCAATTTGAATTATTAACTGGTTGCTTGGGTTGTTGGGAAATCAAGTATATGAGTGGGTGTGAGTGAAGAGAGTCCCACATTGGTATGAAATGAAGTGCAAGACATGCGGTATTCAGCTCACGGTTCCTTGCTAAGCTTGTTGAGGGAGAATTCCTACACTGGGAGAGATTGTTGGAATTGAAGTGTCACTGGGTATGAGTGAAGTAGTGCCAAATTGGAAATTAGTGTCTGAAGTAAGGACCACTTCAGGGAAAAGATTAATTCTACGCCTATTGATGTAGTTCCTCACTAAGCCCAATGAATGAAGATTTTTTTAGAGTTTTGGGCTTGCTTCCCCCAGATAATGAGGAGTTATGAACCACAAAGCCCATGTGAAGTGGTAACCGGGAAAATAGTTGGGAATTCAATTGTAAATTGTGAGGACCATACCAGTGGAAAGACCCATATATTTAATGCTTTTAGGATTTGGATTTTGGGTTAAGCCCACTGGCGTGATTCTTTGATAAACCCCGGGATCTCCTTGGTCTTTTGGTCTCTCCCTGACCTAATTTCATGCAGAGAAATAACTTTCTTTTCTCAAGTTGCCTATTTTGTTTTACACTTGAAATGGCTATTGGTGATTTGAAAGGCTTGTTTGCTCAGGGAAAGAATGTAATATATGTAGTTTGAATTATGTAATGGAAACAGTTGAATTGAGTCAGGGGCAACCAATTAGGCATATGGTCAAATGGTTGTTGACTAGTTGTATTACTAAGCTTGTTTTCTCCGATTCTAAAAGAGAAAAGTAATTGAAAATTCAACCAACAATGAATTTAACTGAAAAGGGACAGGAATTAACTCTTGAAAAAGTATCTATAGAATCAAGTTCACGAAGAAAAGAAAAATTTGCTATGCTTGCTACAATCTTATCTTTTTTTTCTACCTTAAAGATAATATGGTTTGGTCTGGGGATCCTTCTCTTGGAAGTCTGTTTGCCAACATTTGGTTTAGAATCTAACTAGTAAAAAATATTATAGTTAATACTTTCTTTAGGAAGGTCAAAGTTCCATCTGAGGTTAAAGCTTTGCATTAATCTTTTTCCTTCACTATCATATTGTATGGCGGATTTTGAATAATCTGTTTATCATTTTGGAAGAGTCTTTGGCTGTCCCTGAAACACTAAAGTCGTTTCTAACCATTAATTTTCAAGATTTTAGGAGTAGGAAATAGTGCAAGGTTTTGTGAAATTTTCTATGCTTCCTAACTTGTGATGCATGTGCGCAACACATGGCTTCTATTTTCTTTGCATCACAACCTTTGTTTTCTTAGCCCAAAAAGAGCACTACTCAGCTTTTCACAGGAAGAACATTTTTGTTGCAATTGATGGATGGAAGGCATTCAAACATGGTTTAGTTGGCTAGGACTTTAGGTACATGGTGTGGCTTGAGACGCTTGACGACAATGCTGGTTTGCGGTGTTAGGTTGTGTGGAGGTGAGCTGGGTTGCCTATCGTCAGGTAGGCACGAACTAGGGTTTCCTCTTGTCAGACTTTAGATACCATGTTAAGGAAGGAGGGGATGTGAGACATTTAGTGAAATCCGTGTGTCTAAACTACACTATGGGAACTTGATTATATAACCAAAAAGTAATGAATACACATTCTTGGTTATCCTATTTACCGTAATTACATGATTCTGGTTATTCTTTACAATGAACCTAGACGCTATTTACATGGTTTCCAACAATGACATATGTTTTTTTTTCCATGTGCAATTGAGGATAACATACTGTGCTTTATGGTTTAAGAATGAGTGTTATGTTGCCATTACTTAGTTTGTATTATAAATAGTTCATTAGAGACTAATAAGGTGCGTTTGATGTACATTGAGGATCAACAAAAACAGAATAGAGTAGCACAACTGGTTAAGCCATATGATAATTTTTTTATTCTGTTAGCTGTTTGATGACCAATTTATGTTGGATAGAATAATGCAAAATTCAATATAACACCATTTGTGTTGTGCGTTATTTCTCGTGCACTAGAGTTGGGAAATGAAGGGGCAGGGGTTATTGGTCTTTTCTCTCTTTTTGCTATGGACAAAATTTTGTAACCTGATTTAGAGTTTTGCGCTGTTTTGCTATCTCCCTTGAACTACTTTTTGTTTAATACTTATACTATTTTAGAAATCATGTAAAGTATAATTTCTTTTAGTGTTGCGTTGTCCCTTGGTGTTTAGTAAACCAATTGCACTCGTAGTGGTTGAATCATCCTGTTACTGACTATGCATCTTATAACAGATTTGCTTCTGGGTTGCTGGCTTGGATTTTGAGCCGGATTTTAGGTGCATCTGTTGGATTTTGTGTTGGTGGATGTAACAGCTTAAGAGATGTGGTAGTAAAGTTTAAAAAGGTTTTTCTTTGCCTTATTCACTGCCTTATTTCGTAGTAAGAATATTGAAGGGCATTGCGACGTGTTATTAGCGTACAACTTGATATAGTAAAATTCAATCACTGATTGAATTTTATAACGGGAATCAATGTATATTGCATGACTATATAATGTTCTTCTCTAGAATTTCTGCAAGTTTCATCAAATATAATTTTTATTTGTATATCAAATCCCCATTTTCTCTGCACCCCAAACTGAAAAGGCTATGATGATTACAATGCCCTATTTGGTCAAGATCTTCCTTCTGTTCAGTGTTCACCATTTTCATTCCCCAAAAGATGGCACAAACCTTGGTTGAATTCTGTAGTTCTTCATAGTACAGAAAACTAGTTTTTAATAATCATTTGCTAGTCAATTAAAATGTTATATTGAAACAATATTTTGTTGCTTGTGAAACTCTTTAATTTGTTATGAATTAATTATTGTTTTCTTTTATTATAATTTTACTTAGTCCATTATAGGGTAGCTATGTAGATAGTAAGATATGAGGTAGTTAATTTGATTATTAGTGGTAGGTGGTTAGAGGAATCATGGGTTGTTGATATTTCTCTCTCTTTGTCTATTTTCACTATTATTCTATGGATTGAAATTATCAAATGAATTATTTGGAAAAGCACTATGTGCAAGAGATCAAGCTTCCTCCATAAAGCCACCATTCTATGTATGTAACAACTACTTGAAAAAGGGTAATGAAATAATTGAATTGTATGTAAACTGTACAAAGGGTTCTCTATTTAAAGAGAATACATGATCTAATGGGCTAAGCCCAATACAACAAATAAATAAATAAATATTATTATTTACAACACTCCCCCTCAAGCTGAGGATTAGATATTTATCATTCCTAGCTTGCTAGTAAGCTTTTGAAATCTGTCTGAAGAAAGTCCCTTTGTCAATACATCAGCTAATTGACGCCTAGTGGGAATGTATGGAGTGGTAATCAACCCGCTATCAAATTTCTCTTTGATGAAATGGCGGTCGACCTCAATATGTTTAGTCCGATCATGTTGAACTGGATTATGAGCTATACAAATAACGGACTTGTTATCGCATAGCAGCTTCATAGGTCCTTCACATTTTATTTTTAGATCATCAAGTACAATTTTCAGCCACAATAACTCACAAATGCCTTGAGCCATAGCTCGAAATTCAACCTCTGCACTTGATCTTGCAACTACATCTTGTTTCTTACTTCTCCACGTCACGTTACCACAAAGAAACATGCAATAACCAGTGGTAGAACGACGGTCAGTCACAGATCCAGCATAATCAACATCAGTGTAAACTTCTAAAGAGAGATTGCCATCACGCCGGAATAATAGTCCTTTACCAGGAGTGGCTTTAAGATACTGAAGAATTTTCTCCATTGTCTGCATGTGTTTCTTCTTTGGATCGTGCATAAACTGAATGACAACACTAACAGTATAAGCTAGGTCTGGTCTAGTATGAGCCAGATATATCAGTTTCCCAACTAGCCGTTGATATTGTCCTTTATCAACTGGAGGACTATTGATGGTCCTCAAGAGTTGAGGCCCATTAAGTGTAAATTGTTCCACAAAACCCATGTTTTGGTTATAAATCACTTCCTTCAACCTTCTTCTTTCCATATAGAGCAACTGTTTTGAATAGTGGACCAGAGCAATACCGAAAGTGGGAGTTAAGGTAGACCTGGAGCAAATTTAACATTATCTTTTTCACATATGACTATTGGGTTAGTTTGCTTTGTTCAGGACACCTAAGGCCCATCAGAAGGAACCACAAAATGAAGAGAGAAGAAGGAGTGTTGCGCAGAAAGCCTGCTGTAGTACAACAGCAGTCAAAGGAAGCAATGGGAAGCCGCCACGTCAGCCACAACAGAGAAGGTGGAGGTGCTACCTCTGCTACAATACGAAAGCAAAGAAGCTGAGCAATCAAAAGCCGCCACGTCAGCTGCAGCAGAAGGAGTGGAGGTGCCTCCCTGAATCCGATACTCCCACTCACAAAGGGAGCCAAAAGCAAGGGGGACCACTTCCATTTAAGGCCAAGCTGGCAAAAAGCAAGGCTACCATTGGAGAGGATTTCTATTCGGAGCTGAGCTGGCAAGAAGCAAAGCTACCATTGGAGAGGATTTAAACAAAGCACGACCCTTGATGAAAGGAACAATGAAGATCAAATGAAGAACCCTATAAAAGGAACAAGCAATCCTCATAAAGGAAATCATCAGCGCCCATCCTAGGACTCGTCTTCTCTTTGTTTTCTTTTTGTAAAAATGCTCACTAGGAGCTAACTTCCTCTAAGTAGGTGAGGGTTCCATAGAAGTAATCCCTTTTGTCTCAGGATAAATTTGTAAGGAACACATATTTTATAAATGAATTTTGAGTTGCTCTTTGGTTTAATTTATTGATTTTGTGAAACCCTTTGGGCTGGAAACCTCATCCCGGGACCACTCGGTTGATGAAACACTGACAAGGGCGTGTGGAGCATTCTCAAGATCCTGGGGTAGTTTAGCCTGAAGAAAGGAGGGAGAAACACCTGGAATGGGGAGCACTGCCATGTGAATCCATGCTCTTTTGAGAAGGCAGCATGGTTTCCTTGCATATAACTCCAAGTACTATGGAGTAACGTGGAGAGTAAGGCCTTACCCTCTGCTTACTTATAGCAAAACAAGGGAAGGAGCAAAATCCACTTGTAAAATATGCTACCAAGCAGGGTTAACCAAAGGGATGAAAACATGGAACCCGTAACACCTACTTGACTTTTTTTGAAATTAATCTTAACTCAAACTTCTATCACAACCTTAACCTCACGATAACTGAACTGTGTTTTACCAGCTGATGCTCTTACTTTCATTTCGTTGACTGCTCTTGAAGTTACTTAAATTGATGCCTTTTTATTCGATGACCGTGCTAAGTCATTCACTGCTCTCATCTGGTTCAGAATGGTTAACATTGTTTAACTAGCTGCCCAGAGATTGCTCTTTGTGAAGCTTAGCTGAGAATAGTACTTTCTTTTATTGCTCCATTTTACAAATTAAGTTTCCTTTAGCGCTTCTTAGTTCACAACTGTTCCCTGAGGACGATAAATCTGGGGCTACAATACCCTATATTGCTTGACACGTACGCTTGCGTATAGTTGAAGAGGGTTGCTCTTAGTCAGAGTAGATTGCTCCTGTTGGCAATCCTGATTATTACTCTGCACTCTTGCTCTCTGAAAAGATATTCCCGAGCAGCTCTCGGTTCGACCAAGCAACTATCCTCTTCATAACCTATCTTTTGATTCTACTCAATAGGAGTATTCGAGGGTTTACACCCAAGCTTTCCTGCTTCTTTGAGAAGATCAAGAATATATTTCCTCTGACTGATAAAAATTCCTTTGTTTGAATGAGCTACCTCTATCCCTAGGAAATATCTCAGTTTCCCAAGGTCTTTAACTTCAAACTCAGAGGCTAGTCGTGTTTGCAGAAATGTCTCTCCACAAAATCATCACCTGTTATAATAATATCATCAACATATACAAGGAGCACAGTGAGCTTCCCATCTTGGGAGTGCTTAAAGAAAAGAGTGTGATCTCCTTGACTCTGTTTGTATCCTAAGGTCATCATAACCTTAGTAAATCTCCCAAACCAGGCACGAGGTGACTGCTTCAATCCATACAAGGCTTTTCTTAATCTAAAAACTTTATTTTCTCCGTCCACAGAATCAAAACCAGGCGAGATTTTCATGTAGACTTCTTCTTCTAACTCACCATTAAGGAAAACATTCTTCACATCAAATTGATTTATATCCAAATTGTAATGGCCAACAAGGGATAACAAGACTCTCACCGTATTCATCTTTGCAACTGGAGCAAAGCTTTCTTTATAATCAATGCCATAAGTCTGAGTGTAACCCTTGGCGACTAACCGAGCCTTATGTCTCTCAAGAGTGCCATCAGAATTATACTTTAGGGCATAAACCCATCTGCACCCTACTGCTTTCTTTCCATTAGGTCTATCAATAACCTCCCATGTTTTATTTTTCTCCAACACATTCATCTCCTCTTGCATGGCTTGAGCCCAATTCTCATCTTTCAACGCTTCATGTATTAATTTTGAGATTGAAATAGAATCTAGTGCTGAAACAAAGCTTTTGTGATGCACAGAAAGATTAGTAAAAGAAACAAAATGGGAGATAAGGTATTGAGTACAAGATCTTTTCCCTTTTCTTAGGGCAATAGGTAAGTCATCAGAAGCAGAAGCAATGAGTAAGTCATCAGAGGTATCAGAAGAAATAGGCAAATCATGAGAGGCAATAATATTAGAATCAGAAACAGGAGATTCAGGACTTACCAGTGGTTCAGACAATTGAGGTTGCTGGTGAGACAATATGGGTTGTTTCCTCCTCTGATATACCAATTCAGGTGTCAAAATCTTTCGTATCTCAGGTGTATTTGAAGGTTCTGACACACCAGGAGCAGACACACTAGGAAGAGGTGTAGGAGTAGACAAGGACGATCCAGACTCAATGTAACACCCCAAATTCTAACAATTTATAATAGCATAAATAAATTCAATAATTTTATAAATAACAGCGGAAGTTCAAAATAATCAAATTTGGGAAGTGTTACCGCCGCACTTGTACAAGGACAAGTGCAAGGCTAACTCTATTACATTCAAATAAAAATCTAAGACTACAGTTTTTTTTTTTTATACATAATATTTATGACAGCTAGAAATATCCGAGTCGTGATCCTCACTGCCCACGGCTAGCCCCATCCTTTGCAACATGCTTCACTGAAAATCTGCTCCCCCGCAGCCGCAGGATCATTGCAGTCAAACAAACACAAAAGTCAGCAAAGCTGGTAATCCCAATCAAGATACAAAACGAGGATAATATAACCCAATATCAATCAAGACATTTATTTAAGAATAATCAACTCAATTAATATTTCGAATATGTCATTTATTCATAACTCAAGCAATATTCAAATATGTCATTTAATCA